AGCAGAGGGGATATTTCTGACATGTTTATTTTACCCTTTTCCCTCCCAGTCTCCTCAGCCTGGGAGAACTCTCCTGCTGGAGGTACTCACAGCATCAATGTTTAATGCTTCCCCTGCTATCACAAATACATTAACTTCCACCCTCAGTGCACAGCTGTCAATTATTTTTCTTTGTGTTGCCCACCTCTCTTTACCCAATTCAGTTAATATGCAAAAGTTGTGGGGGTTTCTTAGTGAACATGAGGGGATTGAGGGTTGTTCCTCACCTTGAAACACGGCAGAACCTGAAGGAATGCCAGTTCCTACTTTGGTATTTCATGTAAATCCTTCTCCAAGTTCATGAGAGCCACCCAGGACAAATGGACATTTGCTTTTTGCCTCCAGAGCCCCTTAAAACCAGCTCCCTTCCCATGGGGCTCCAGGGAAAACCTTGGTGGGGAACAGAAACACTGCTTGGGATCACCCCAATCCCACAGCTCTCCACATCCCCACTGGGATCTCTGTCCTGGGAAGTGTCTCCCAGGCCCAGGACACACTCTGTGTTCCTATTTAATGATCACACAGACCCCAGTTGGCTGCTGAGGGACACACAAATATTCAAAATGCTGTAAAGAGCAAAACCCTGCCTGAGGTCAAGGAAGGACAGAGTGGCTTTTAGGGAGCCCTTTTGTGCCTCAGTGTGGGTGCAGCCCTTGGTGTTCCCCTCCTCTCTGGAAGAAACATGTTGGCATCAACCTCAGGAATTGTGTTACCTGCCCCAAGGTACCCCTGGCTCCCTGCATTTCATACAGGAGGCATTTCCAAGGTGGCCTGTGCCACAGATCCATCGGCCACAGCGATCCCACAGGGCTGAAGCACAAGCAGGATGAAGCAGGAGAAATGAAGTGTGTTAGAGATGGGCTATGGTGGGGCCAGCAGCAGTCCTGAAAGCCTGAAGAAGCCCTTATATTCCTAGAGGTGGGAATTTGGCCAGCAGGACACAGGCTGCAGGTAGAGTTACTCCAGGGAACAGTAACAAAAAACCTTATTAAACTTGTTAAAAGCAAAGCAGCTCTAAATGTAGGATTCTGCTGGCTGAGAAATTTCCATTTCAGCTCCTGGCTTAAAGCTTTTTCTCACTGCTAACTCTAAGAGGAACAGGAGCCCAAGTTCAGCCCAAATCCACATTTCCAAAGCTTCAGACCTGGTAGAAACAGCAATCCTTGGGGTTTGGTGCCTATGACCCCCTCTGTCTCTGTGCAGCAGGGCTGTCCCTGGAGAGAAGGTCCCAGAAGGGTCTCCAGCAACCACAATGCTCATTCCACAGCTCCTCAGGGCTGTATCTCATGAGAGCCCCCCAGGAAACCAGGCAGGGTTCCAGTTCAACCCTACCTCTATTTCAATGGCTTAAAAATAGATGAATAATAACAACACCCCAAAAAACAAACTAAAGAAGGAAAGCCAAAACCAAACCATCAAACCTTTTGCATAAAACTTTTCAGATTAAAAAAAAAAAAAAGCAGAGTCAGTCCAAAAAGTCCAGCTGGAGACCCAGGAGAGGGAAGACTCCCAGGACTGGGGCAGCTTCCCCTCCTGGAGGAGCAGATTAGCAGTTCCTGGGTTTAGAGGGTGAGACTGGACACATCCATTTGTACCAGTGCTGCTCTTGCTCCTGATAACAAGAAGAAAAGCAGGGATGGCAGGAATTCTGATGGAACACATGGAACAACAGGACAAAGAACACAAAGTCTTTACACAGTTACTGCAGGCAGGGAAGAGCCAAGGCCATTTGCCCAGGTGGGAAAACTGCACAAATGAATATGACTGAGCATGTAAACTCAGAATTGGGCATCATGGAATTACCTTTCTGCTGGAGCTAAGGACAATATGGAAAAGTGGAGGTGAGCTTTCTCCTGGCTCTTTGCTGAGGTACAGTCTACAGCCATTCCCACACAAGGAGTGCAGGGAAGCTGGAATTACCTTTGGAAAGCAGGGGAGCCCACAAAAGAGCTGCAGAGGGACTTTGGACAAGGGCCTGGAGAGCCCAAGAGGGAATGACTTCACAGTGACACAGGGCAGGGTTAGATGGGATATTGGGAAGGAATTGTTCCCTGTGAGGGTGGGGAGGCCCTGGCCCAGGTTGCCCAGAGAAGCTGTGGCTGCCCCTGGATCCCTGGAAGTGTCCAAGGCCAGGTTGGACGGGGCTTGGAGCAACCTGGGCTAGTGGGAGGTGTCCCTGGTGCATTTAGGCAGTTTTAAGGTCCCTTCCAACCCAAACCATTCTGTGGTTAAAGCCTCATCGAGCTCTACTGAAGAAGAAAGAATCTGAGGTCAACACTCGTCATCGTTTTAAGATTCACTGAGCTCAGCAAACAGGTTTTAACATTCATGGTGGAGAAGCAGAACACTCAAGGATCATCACTCAAGAGGTCTCATCAGGACCAGCAGAGGAGTCTCCTCGTGTCTGCAGAGGAGAAAATCAGACCCGACGGCGCTGCTGCTTCCCCAGGACACACGAGAGCCCAGTAATGAACAGCAAACGTGATGGAGGCTCCCAAATCCATCTCACTTAAATTAGGATATAAAATCAGTCCAAGCAAACAGCCCCCGTGCACAGCTCAGACTTCTGGTAAGACACTCCATCTAAACGCTGAATCATGAATTACAAACAAGCACAAGAGTGTTGGCCACCAAATCACCTCCAGGACTAATTTTTATCCATCTTAATCACGGCCTGAAGGCCAAGAAAGGAAAGAGTTAGTGGAAGGAAAACGGTGCTTATTTGATTTCTTTTGAGAAATACCTCTCAGTGACACCCCAAGATGGGTTTGTCCAGTAGAGGTTTGTAAAGAAGAGTTTATCTTTGGGTGTGGTGTGTTCATAATTGAGAGATGACACAGAAGAGTTTATCTTTGGGTGTAGTGTGTTCCTAATTGAGAGATGACACAGAATGATAAGGCAAAACGAGCTCCTGAGCCCCTTCCCAGAACCACAGTCCAGCCCATTCGATACAGTCTTCTTCCATTTCCATGACTTCACCACCACTCATTGCATTATGTCTAAACATAGGCCATCAACTCCTCATAATTCTGTTTGCAAGGCATTATGCATATTTAGGGAGCTATCTAAATAACCTTAAATTAAGTTACAAGGCCAAGCAAAGACTGGGGGAGAGCCAAGTCGTGCCCTCACCCACAGGGCTGCCAGAACAACGTGGGCAAGCTCCAGTGCCCAACAGACACAGAAGTTTTGGCACACATTTGTTGTACCTTCATCATCAGATGGCCAGCTGATAAATAATCATAATAAATGTAATCAAATCTGATAAATAATAGAGTTATCTGAGTACCAAGCCCTGTTCAATACCACAAACCATGGTGGAACACAGCTCTGCCCATAAATCCCCCCCCTAAAAATCCTCTCCAAGGTATGGGAGGAGGCTGAGCAGGAGAGAAGCACACCCAGATTTTGACAGGTCCTGTTGTTATGGGGGGGCTTTCAAGGGACCACATCAAACACAACATCCAAAACCAGCTGTTTTGGATAAACAAAAATACCACGAGCAACCTTCTGATGTGAGAGGGATTTGGGAAGCAAGCACAGAGCTGGGCAGGGAAAAACCTCCACATTTTCACTAGGAAAAAAATGCTATTTAAAGGCAGGGCTTTATATTATCCACAGGACAGATTCTCCACCTCCAAGTACTCAAACAAAGGACTGAGAAGTTTAAATCTTTCCATGTAATGCTGGGAGTAGAAACACTTTGGCAACACCCCCCCCAACACTTCACAGAAACACCACCTGAACCTGCAAAATTTCAAACTATGAAAAGCCAAAGGAATTAAACCTGTGCCTTGAGAAAGGACTTCACCTTAAAAGGACAGAAGATTAAAGTTGTTTTGGGAAACTAGTGAAGAGCATTTGCAGCTATACGGCCTCGAGATTTTGGCAGGAAACCTTGTTTAAAGGATGGCTTACTGCCTTGAGAATAGTTTTGTTTCAAAGAACAATTTCAGGGATTAATGTACACATGGGCAAGCGAGAAACCTCCACTCCCCTCAGGTGTTACCTGGCCAAAATGTTTTTGAGCCTACCAGACAGTTCTGGAGAGGAGCAAGAAGAATTTGATAATCATCTGTCCATTTGCATGGTACCAAATCCCACCAGGAGTTTGCTTGCTGTGTTCTCTGAATGACAACAGGGACATTTCCCTCAAAACTCACTCTGAGAAGAGGGATGCTGGATGGACCAAGCTTAGTAACTCCTACAGCAGACATGCACTTCCTGACAAACCAAAACCCCAAACATACTTAAAATCTGCTCAGTTTGCCACGTGAAGAGCGAGGAAACTTGGAAAGGAGAAGATACCAAATGCAAAGAGCTGACATTTTGGAGAAGAGCAGCACTGGCAACACGGATCCCCTGGGAAGGTTTTCAGAAACCTGAATATCCACTGCTCTCGTGTCCCACCCGGAAAACAAACCCCTGCCACAACACACACTGTGACAAATCAGATGTGCTAAACTGCAGCTGCTGCAATTATTTTGTGCCCAGGAGGGGAAAATACCATTTCCTATTATCCCAAGCATGGCTGCTGCTGAGAGCCCCATGTGCTCTGCCAACATTCATAGCCCTGCCCTCCCAATGCCCTACGAGGAGTGGGCTGTGACCATATTCTCCTTGGTTTAGCAGGCATCTCCCATTTCCAGAACACCAATCCTTCTGTTGAGTCCCTAATTTATACAGCAAACCGTTGGTATTGTCTCAAAGCCAAAGAACTATATTTAGTGGAGGTTTATTCTGAGGGATCTCAGTGCAAGGTTAACAGCTTTCACCTCCTTTCTTTATATAGGGAGGCACACAAATCCAGGCAGAAATTTTCCAGGCAGAAGTAATCCACACAATTTTTCAACCACCATATTTAGACAACGCCTTCAACCTTTTTCTTCGAAATTATTTTTCCCACGAAACAATGTTTTTGTCTCTGCACGTGTTAAAATAAAAGGGAATTTCAACCCTACCTTCCATGACGTACACCAGGGAACCCACATCTCCCTCCTTGATGATGCAGCTGTCTTTGCCATACTCCACGGGGTACATACAATCCACAATCTCCTGGATCTGGGACAGCTCCAGATTCTTCATGAAGTCATTGTCAAGGATTGCTTCCTTTATCAGCTCCTTGGACCTGTGGCACAAAGAGAAAGACAAGAGTTTATCGACGTGTCCACCAGCCCAGTTCATTTATAGTGACCTTCAGCACAACAATTTTTCCTTGGGGGAAAAAATTCAGCATTTTCCCCAAAAACACACAGAGAAGTAAGAAAGAAATGTTACAGAAACATTAACTTGTAATTATATGTTGTAATCAAGTTTTAGATACATCAGGTATCGAAATAAAAACAGATTCCACGCCGGTTGCAAGATCCTCTTTTAGCTACAAGTTTCATGTGTGTGTAACACCAAAGAATAACGTGGCTACTTGGAATATCTTCCATATACAGAACTGAAAGGAAATACAAACAAGAAGTTAAAGGATTTATGACTGAGTTTATTATATTTTCTATTCCTTATACAAACTGGAGCACAACAAAGTGTGCTGCTGCACTGACTCTTGGAGCATTAATCTAAGGGTGTTCTAATCACTCCAGGAGGCACCACTGGTACAGGAATAACACCGCCTTTGATTCATTTATTTGCTGACTACATGGAAAATTCCAAAGTCCTATCAGTGTGCACAGAACTCTCCGTGCAGTTCTGGCTCGGCACAGGAGTGGGTTGGAAGTTTGGAGCCCTCAGTGGCCACTTTGCCAAGCTGGGTAAGGAAGGAGATGTTCCTGAGGACACAGACACTGAACTCCCTGTTCCCCTGCTCTCTGGGAGCCCACCTGGAACGGGCACACATGGCCCAACCTGCTCACTCCAGAAAAGCCTCTGCCCATGTCCTCTCATGAGGGAAAACAGAACCACTGACGCGTTTTTCCTGATTTTCCCCAGATTCTTCCCATTTCTACAATTAAAGTGCTACTACACGGTGAGTCACTGCAGTGAACCTTCCAGCCCTCCCTTCAGACTGCCAAGCTCGACACCATCCAGTGTTCATGCAAATGAACAGCTGAGAATGGGAAATCTCGGTCTAGACCAAAAGCAAAGCCCCCAGAACACCCACAAGCCCTTCACTTGTCACCCTGCAGCTCCCCTTCTGTGGGCTGAGTGATCTGCTGCTGTGACACAGCCCAGGCACACAGCAGTTCCCTGCAGAGCTGGTGCATTCAGGAGTGCTTTATCTTCTGGAAACATGAGCACAAAGAGAGGCTTTCAAAGCAAGGCACAACTAATGGAGTGCATCTTCTTGACAAGGAGCCAAACGGGGATCTCAGGAGACCAAACCCAGCCAGCCTTGGAGATACCCTGCCTTTGCTCCAGCCCTTGTGCAGGACACCTCAGGGTCATCTGCAGCACAGGTCCAGCTCAATAATGTTTGAGATGCTCTGGACAGTTTTGAGGTTCTTCCAGCAAAACATTCTGCTTGCCATCAGAGTCCATCAGGACTGACCAGGTGATGAAACAGGACCAGAATTCCCAAGTTCTGTCTGCAGGACAACCCTGCTATAAAACCACTGTGCTCCTGAGAACCTTAGTTTGAATTTACACACCAACACTCCAATTCCTTCTGTGTGCAAATCAAACCCTTCATCTGTGCTATTTGTTCCCTTCAGTACAGTGAGAAGCTGGTAATTTGTAAGGCTGCCCAGATAACCCAATTTCCTACTCCCTCCTCCTGTGGAAGAGCTTCCCATGCTGTGCCTTGGCTTAGCACTGCTCTTTTGGTCTTAGCCACCCCTACAGGTCCCCCCAAATCCTAACAAAGACACTAATTATTAATGTTACTCAACTGCCTGCCCAAAAAGGAAAGCATAATAAGGGCCTTGGCATCAGTCATACCAACTTGCATTTCAATTTCAGGCATTTACTTCATTCCAAGGCTCAAAATAAAGCTTTCTCCTTGGTAAAATAAATCAGCCTTTCGAGTGGAGGGGCTGCAAGAACAGCCACAAAGGGTGGAGGGAATTCCTGGTTCAAGTCAGACCTCCCCTGTTGCCTTCAGCACAAAACAATGCTCTCCTTGTGGGAATCAGACCCTGGGAAATTCGGTCTAAACCACGGCAAAGGAGCAGGAAAACCTACTGGAAGCCAGTTGGACTCGATGGTCTTAAAGGTCTTTTCCAACCTTTATGATTCTGTTCTGGGGAGAAGCAGCAAAACATACCCAGTGGGAACAAACTTTGGGAATTCCTGGTATTATGACAGTGTGAGAGCTCACCTGAACCACCTGATTCACAGCCCCCAGCCTTGAACATGGACACATCAGGGAAGCTCAGAGGCCCACGAGCCATTCCAAGCCTTTTAACCACAGCACAAAATATATCCACTAAGAAGAAAAACGCCCTGGCCGGGACATCAGTGACAGAGTTTCATCTCTGCCACATCCAAGCATCTTCAAATTAAACACCCACATAGAAGGGTCTGGATAAAAGCTCAGTCATCCCGAATGTAAGTGAAAGAGATGTTATTAGTTAAGGATTATTAGTTAAGGTGAGACTTTGGCTACAAGGAGCACGAGGGAAACGCACCCCCAGCTGCCCTGAAACAGTGCTGGATGGAGGAGCAACCACCTTGAGACCCAACTGCTTATTTATGGGAGTATTTCATGGAATCACAGAATGGTTTGGGATGGAAGGGGCCTTAAAGGTCATCTCATTCCACTCCCCACCACCACAGACTAAACCACACTCCATAGTTTGGCAGCTAGGGCAGGAAATATTCCATCCGTTTTTTCAAATAAAAGAAGGAAAAAGCTGAGTTTGACATATTTGAAAATGAGTCCATACTAAAAATACATTGTCATAGCTACTATAAGAGTTCCTCTATTGTTCCCTGCGAGAGAATATTCATCACTCTAATAATTCAGAAAAATTATTCATGCAGTGTCATTACCAGGCCCACACACCAGCCCATGCCAGGCCTTCAGCAGCTTCCACGTTATTTTATTCCATGGTTTTCTTCCAGTGCAGCTCACAGGTGCCATTTAACATAAGTACCAAAGAAAAAAAAAAACTATTTATTTTTATGTTGAATCCCAGGATCGCTGAGGTTGGAAAAGCCCTCCAAGGTCACCAAGTCCCCCCTGTGCCCGATGCCCACCTTGTCCCCCAGCCCAGAGCACTCAGTGCCACAGCCAGGCCTTCCTGGGACACCTCCAGGGATGGGCACTCCAAACCTCCCTGGGCAGCCCCTGCCAAGGCCTC